AAAGACGACCATCGACACCTTGCACAAGGAGGGCAAGACACAAAAGGTCATCGCTAAAGAGGCTGGCTGTTCACAGAGCTCAGTGTCCAAGCACATTAATAGAGAGGCGAAGGGAAGGAAAAGATGTGGTCGAAAAAAGTGTACAAGCAAGAGAGATAACCGCACCCTGGAGAGGATTGTGAAACAAAACCCATTCAAAAATGTGGGGGAGATTCACAAAGAGTGGACTGCAGCTGGAGTGAGTGCTTCAAGAACCACCACACACAGACGTATGAAAGACATGGGTTTCTGCTGTCGCATTCCTTGTGTCAAGCCACTCTTGAACCACAGACAGCGTCAGAAGCGTCTTGCCTGGGCTAAAGAGAAACAGGACTGGACTGCTGGTGAGTGGTCCAAAGTCATGTTCTCTGATGAAAGTAAATTTTGCATTTCCTTTGGAAATCAAAGTCCCAGAGTCTGGAGGAAAAGAAGAGAGGCACTTCATCCACGTTGCTTGAAGTCCAGTGTAAAGTTTCCACAGTCAGTGATGGTTTGGGGTGCCATGTCATCTGCTGGTGTTGGTCCATTGTGTTTTCTGAGGTCCAGGGTCAACGCAGCCACATACCAGGAAGTTTTAGAGCACTTCATGCTTCCTGCAGCTGACCAACTTTTTGGAGATGCAGATTTCATTTTCCAACAGGACTTGGCACCTGCACACAGTGCCAAAGCTACCAGTACCTGGTTGAAGGACCATGGTATCCCTGTTCTTAATTGGCCAGCAAACTCTCCTGACCTTAACCCCATAGAAAATCTATGGGGTATTGTGAAGAAGAAGATGCAATACACCAGACCCAACAATTCAGAAGAGCTAAAAGCCACTATTCGAGCAACCTGGGCTATCATAACACCTGAGCAGTGCCACAGACTGATCGACTCCATGCCACGCCGCATTGCTGCAGTAATACAGGCCAAAGGAGGCCCAACTAAATACTGAGTGCTGTACATGCTCATACTTTTCTTGTTCATACTTTTCAGTTGGCCAACATTTCTATAAATCCTTTCTTTTTATTGGTCTTCAGTAATATTCTAATTTTCTGATATGATGAATTTGAGATTTTCATTTGTTGTCATTTGTAATCATCAAAATTAAACAAAATAAACATCTGAAATATATGAGTTTGTATGTAATGTATGAATATAATATACAAGTTTCACTTTTTAAATGGAATTACTGAAATCAATCTACTTTTTCATGATATTCTAATTTTATGACCAGCACCTGTATGTTTTCTCTGCTAAACTCAGATTTAAGTATGCTAACATTTAAGTCCAGTTTGAGAGTTGTTTACTATAAGAAGTGTTACTTAAAGAGTGATCCCTCCAGCCATAAGAGGCCATGAGGCCTAAGTGCCTTTGGGGGGCAATATCCTTCCAAACAACACATCAGTTTGCAGTGTTGAACAGAAATAATTTCTTTCTTCCATTACTCAACAACAAGACTCAGACTTTGACAAACTTTATTGTTATTTTTGTATGCACAGAGTGTATAGAAAAAGAAATTCCGTTGCATACAGCTTACAACAATGTAATGATATTGCAGTTGGAGTAGATAAACATTACCAATATTAAGTGCAGCAGTGATCAGAATGTAAACAATGTAGGAGAAAAAGAAACCAGTTTTAATAAAGGGCATTGATATGATTTTTTCATTGCAGTGAAAAAATAACTATGGTAGAAAAATCAGTAGAAAGCAAGACAATGCAGCAAAACAACAATTCACAAGAAATGGTCAGTAAAAACAACTGTGTCATTTAAGTAATCCTTAATGGGTGCCTAGAAAACATTTCTCACACAATTTACACTGAGGAACAAACCTTAAATCTTAATACATGCAGAATCAATCATTTTAAGTTTGACTCCATCTTTTTTTTTTCTTTAATCTGCTATACTGTAGTTTTTGGTTAGCCCATGAGATCTGCAGCCTCTAATTTTTTATTTTTTTTTTTCATTTTTAGGACACACCTGATATTATGTATTGTTTAATTTGCTGAATTAAGACATTTTACATTAATGAACAATCTAAGCAATGCAAATGCATGCACCCCGTTACAGCCAAGGCTGAGTTCCATAAGGTGTTCATCTGCTGTATCAAATCTGCTCTAGTATAAGGATGTTTAGGGGTAACACAATTTTGTTTGCATTTTGGTTATAAAAAGTGGTTATTTGTTCTGCCGATGACTGTCCATCACCATGAACCAGTATCAGGATTCTGAAATGACGTCCGACTTAAAAAAAAGCTTCATAACTACTATCTTGATAACCTGTCATACTTGACTGTTCTCGTGAGAAATGGCTGTGTGTGAAAAAATAGGTGGTTGGATAATATATAGTTATACATTTGATTTAAAATACTTCTTTGCCTGAAGCTACATCAGCAAGAAAATATTCTGAAATTATGCAGCTTAATCACCAGTCTCCATCGTTGACCATTAGTTTAAGGTGTGGATATCAGCTGCTCTGTAAAAGGACAAAGTTAGAGGGTGCTATTCTACCATTCATTTTGGATTTCTGTAAGATCCCCTTAGGTACTTTGATAAATATGAATTTCCAAATGTCCAGGGTAAATAAAATGTTCGTTTCTACTCAATTCATTAATCAAACCAAAGATATTTAGTAGTGGTGGGCTGCTATCTGCGTTAATAGCTGTGTTAATGCCATGCGCTTATTGGACACAAAAAAAAAAATCGCTGTTAATTTATTCTCATAGTTTGGTTGGGAGATAGATCTATACTAATGATGACTTTCACCTTGATATTTTAGAGCAGATGTATATCTGGGAGCGAGAACAAATCCGTCTTCGAACCTGTGTAGGCGTACTGTGAAATTACCACTTTGAAGGTGACTTACTGTTGGAGCCTCTTAAGAGTTAGAAACATGGCTGAATTATCAATGTTACAGATCTAATCTTTTATGAATGGAAGATCTGTTGTAATTTATTTATTTCTTATTTGACCCTACTCCATGTCAGTCCACCTCCTGCTGTGATCAACAAGCAGAAGCAACTGCTGTGGTTGATCTGATTGTTTGGTGAAGGACTGAGGAGTGAAGTAGTTTTTCTACCACCAATTAACCAATTAACGTTTGTATTTAATTTTTTGTACGTCAACTTTGAGATTATTTCTGTTATTTGAGTGCTTTTTATAATATAAGTGAGTCGAAAACCTCCTCCTAAAACTACTCTGGCATTTTTTTTATTTTTGCAAACTTATTAGGTTTTAAGCATAGCCGTAACAAGTAGAAAAACTTCACTGGTGACTTGAAGAAAAGTGCAAAGTGGGGGATCCAGCCGGTCACTCACAGACGAACAAAGAAAGCAGCCAGCGGGCCGTTAGTAAAATCAGCTGATTGAGTTTATCAATGAAAGCGCTGCTGTGCTGCAGAGAAACAATTGATCACTACAGAAGGCAAAGCTTTTGATTTTTATGAACTTTTTCAAAAGTGAAGAGATCTTTGTGTTCATTAATGATGTCTGACCCTGAAATTCCGCCTGCGTAGGAGAAAATGTTAAACATGGATGTAGCTATAAAGACGCCGGGTTTGCTTCAGGGAAAATGTATTGAGCATATTATTATTTGGGTAGCACATACATATCATGAATTTCTCTGGCAGAATTCAAAGGAGCGATTTTAATCTACACTAATCTAGATTAGTTCCAAGATTGCAGTGAGATTAATCTAGGTTAAAAAAAATAATTTATGCCCACCACTACTATATATTTAGAGCCATTGTCATGAGCCCTGTTTGATGTTTTTTTCATATTCCAAATGTTCCTTTTAAGAGTGTTAGTCAACAAATCTGCTATTCACAAAAATGTCAAGATCCAATGTCAAGTTAAGCACTGCATAACCCGCATCAAAGTTTTGTAAAGAACTTCAGCTTCTCGCATGCTGCAAGATTATGTCAAACTTTTACTTTTCTTGTTCATGTATGGTCATTCATATTTAATTTATGCTGCTTTTGAAACCACACCAACGTATTAAGGCACACAAACACATGTACGCACAGCAGCTGCCATTTCAAGGCGTTCTCACTACTGAGGCAAAGAAGCAGCATGACAAACCCCTGTGTGCAGAATAAAGACTTATCATCCGCTGTCATTCCCTCCTCACAGACCAGGGGATTTTGCATTGGGCTTGCTAAACGTTCTTTGAGGTTGTTATTTATTTATTTCATCTGTTATCCGGCGCCCTGTAAGCATAACGTGCCTTTGGTGAGATTGAGCACAATGTACTTCAAACCCCCCCCCCAGGCGATAGATTCCCCTCCTTACATCCTGTACATCTTTGATTCACGATATAAGAGTGGTACGCTCTTCATACAGTTCAATAACAGCCAACTCCATGCTGATGTAACTCTGGCTCACTGTCGCCTCTCAGCCTGTCACGCATGAAAAGGGGAGACCCCTGAAATGCACTTGAAGGGCAGTGTGATTGAATTAACCAGCCATTAGATGTAGGAGATGAGCTGTAATTGCATGGGTATTTATCTATTCAGATGAAAGAGTTTTGACCGGGAGGTCGTGTTACTGCTGCGCTGCCCCCAGGATAAAATGTGTGTACCTGTTTACATCTTCCTCATTCGTGTTGTTCCAACCTATTATTGTTGAGCCCTGATTCTCGGCATTACACTGTGGAATGGTTTTGCTGCTCGTGGCATAAAGCAATGATAATGTGGCCCAGCAGTGCTTATCTTTCTCAATGTTGCTGCAGCCTTCATTAATGACCGGAATAACAGAAATTAGAGGCATTGTGCAATCCACAGTGTTCATGATGGTCTAGTGCCAAGCAGGCAGTTGCTGTGAGTTTTTACTTTATGTCACCATCTTCTGTTCTTATTTCATCTGATGTCTTCCTCGTTATTTTTCTCTGTACCAGTTTTTTCTTTTTTATATGTTCTTTTTGTGAGTTATTCCTGTTACCACCTCTATTATTTGCCGAATAGAATGTCATCCTGACCTTATACTTTCTGTTTCATGCAGGCCTGCCCCCGTTCTTCCCACTGAGAGGAAGTGATGTCACGTCACCACCACCGCTTTGAGAGGGACTACCGGGGACCCTGGGATCGGAGAGACATCCGTCCCTCCGGCCTTCACAATGGAGGAGCCAACCATAGCTGTGCCTCTGCCGTCGTCAATGGCAACAACCGTCCGGGGCTGCTTCCCCTCCCAGTTATCCCCTCCCTCCTACCCACCCCGGTTACAGTTGCCGTGACAACGTCGAGCTGTGACCTAGTGGTCAAGCGAGGCATCCCGGCAGCAGGATCAGTGGCTCCAGCATCGGCAAAGGTAGGATGCCAAATTCTTTTTCCACCTGCTTAAATATACACTGATCCGTCAAACTTCTGAAGTTTCTTCCTTTGTATCAGCTGTAATATGCCACAATTCCACAATTGGACAAAATATCCAACTTTTCCCCACTTTTAGGCCCTCACTATTACTTTGTCCACCACTTCTCCCCTTGCACATACTGCAAATATTGCTGCACCGCCATGTCTGTCTTCATGGTTCATCTGACCCACCTCGTCAAGCCTTTCCTGCCCCTTTTTTTTCTTTCTGCTGCCTTCCCCACTCTTCACCTTTATCCCTCGCTCCAATTTTGCTGCTCTCTCTGCACTTTCACTGTCCAATGCCTCTTTCTTGCCAAACCATTTTCCTTCCATCTTCATTTTCTCTCCCTGCCAAATGGCAGTCTCATCCTGCTTTTGCCTCCTTAGTAATTCTCCTCTTTCATTATGTAAATGACCCCTGACAGTTGCTCAGATGGATGCTGCTGTCGCAAGTGATGGTTAGAGGGGAACTAAATAATTGTAAAAGACCTAATTTGACAGGCTTTTCAAAATATGTCTTGCATCTAAACACCCTGCGATCATGATGTTAGGGCGAAAAACTAAGGCAAGTTGGATCAGGGTATACTGTTCATTAGAAGTGCACCAATCAGAGAATGATGGATGACGTCCATTTCATTTTTATGTTCAAGCTATGATCTACTGATACAGAATTTAGCAAATCTCAGGGTCCCTTTAAAACAATATTTCTTACTTGTTAAACAATTAGATTCATATTTGCCATTGCAACATCAATGAGCACAATACTCCAATCAAAATGGACTTCTTGCATCCAAAATGTCCCAAGGGATAAAGTAGAGCACATTTGTTTTAATCTGCATATGATATATATATATATATATATATATATATATATTACATCATTAATTTTAAAAGTAAGTATTTTTCTCTGGATTTCTCTATGTATCCCAAGTTGATATGTTTGCTATTTCAGAATGTGTTGTGCTTTGTGCTCAGACTAAACCAATATAATAAATGGAGGAGCTGGGTGCATTTTTATCAAAACATTTGCAGTTTTTGTGCTCAATCACATCCTCAGATTCCCTAGTGAGCTCGTTTAGCATCATGTAAGACAAAAACATTCCCCCCATTACTCCTCATTTACCTTCAGCTGATGAATAGCCAGCTATTTACTTCCAGTAATAATTCTACACCAGAAGATCTTTTACTTAGAATTAAACTAACTCTCATACACCTTCTTGGTTTCCAGCTCTCAAAGGGGCTTACATTTGTTAGAACAGAGGTAAACAATGCAGTGGTAATTTACCCCCTAAGAGCTCATCATTAGATTCCCCACTGAGTGTACTGACCACAGAAACAGTAAATCTACTCCGGCATCACGTAACCACTCCTTTTTTGTTGAATAATTACTTGCATTCAGACGGAGTCTTCCCCAACTCCCACCATGGTTGTTGTCATCACTCAATGGTTGCCAAAGCAATTAGGTGCTTTACCTTGCACAAATGTGCACACACATTAAATTGTAAGATGTATCTGGGAACGTGGGATGTCTAGACAGCAGATATATAGATATTGTTCTCAAGATGCCACTCTGTTTCATTAACTTAGAGATTTATCGCCCTGCTTTATTCTGAGTCTGGTAGTGTTTTGTGCAACTGACCTGGACGGAAATTCTGTTTGTTTTATAAAAAAAAACAAACAAAAAAAAAACAAGTAAAGTGTGGCATGCATATGCATAACAGCCCCTTCATTCTGAATAAAATCATTGACATACTTTTAAGTCCCTTCATAGTCAGACATGTTGTTCATCTAAACAAGGCTCTGCCACATTGACAGTCTAGGAGGGCTATTTTTGTCCTCATTCCTGTGAAATTAACCTGCTCAGAACAGAAGTTACATTTGCTTCTGAAAAGATATTAATTATAGTTTTTGACAATTATTTACTACAGGGATTGCTTTTATTTCTAAAGATCCATGTTTTTTTTTTGCTTGAAAATGAATAATAAGCATAACATTGATCAAAAAGAAGATTTATCCTGTGATTTATTCTGTGACATATACAAAAAAGCATATAAAATACACTTAGTTTCCAGCCCAGTGGCTTGAAAAATATATTTGAAAATGTCGCACATTATCACTGGTACCGTTTGTACAGATTTGTTTTGAACTAATTCTTTAAAAAAAATCTGATACATGTATTTATATCAAACTAAATTTAGAAACATTTGTTGGTTCTGAATGGTACAGAGAGCCACTTGCAGCTCTGAAGCCCTAAATTGCAGACTTCTGACCTAAACTGACAAGTTGGGCATGAAGAGTGCAATTTGAATAATGGCAATAAGTAAAACTTTATTTGTGTTACACTGTTCAAAACAAGAAAAAACATACAAATTTAACACCAGTAAATGTTAAACAAAGATGGAGAACTTTTTGTTTACCAAGTCGAGAGGACAGCTGAGTTGTTCACTATGGATTCCTGTAGTAGACAGGGCGAGATAACATTTTGCCCCAAGCCATGCAGTGGGACACATTAAATATGTTAAAAGAAGGTGCTTGGTCAGCTAAGCTCAAACTTTAACCTTTTTGCTAACTTACAAAAGCATATGTGTGAAAAACTTCTGTCGCTGCACATCACACCAAACACACCATCCTCACAGTGAAGCACTGGTGTAAGATCAAGATGTAGGGAAACTCAGCGTTCTTTGAGCTTGTGTTTTGGGCAGAGTTGGTTAGATGTGATACAGTATGAAAATGGATGCTGTTAAATACTGGGCAAATCCTGAAGAAAATCTCCTAGATGGTGGAAAGAACCTAAAATTAGAAAGGGTTACTTTCCACAATAAGTAAACTAAAGTTGAGGGGTTTAGATTTAAATGTTTTTATATGTTATAATGGCCCAGTCAAAATCCAGACCAAAATCTGTGGCAAGACTTTGAAAAAAAAAAATTGCCGTTTATAGATTCTCTCCATCCAATCTAGCTGAGGCTGAGCTATTTGACAAATAAAACTTGGCATAAATTTTAGTTCCTAGACGCCCAAAGCTGGCGGGCGGCTCTCTTCAGCTCTGTAAGATTTATTGCTTCAATCGTGGTAAGAATAGTTTCTAAAAAAAAAAAAAAAAAAAAAAGACTTGGAGCTACTGAATTGATAAACTTACCGCATTTGTTTTTTAAGATATCTCTGTGATAAAGAAAGATATGCGAAAACAGTACTTTAAAATCAGAGGAAGGTGTCCAGGTACCTCTGTAAAAACAAAACATTGTGCATATATACCTACAGCAGTTGTAATTTGTAATTTTGGCTGTAAAATCTAAAGTAAATAGAACTTTTTGCTGCCTCACTACCTCACTACTTTTCTGCCATGTATGATCAAATCTCTCGGTGGTCACAGGAAGTCTTATGGACCGATGCAGCTCTCTCCATGGTCCCTGTGTCTCTGTTCTATCCATGGCCCCGATAAAAAGCTGACAGAGCGTATTGATTTCCGCTGCTTGGGGACGTGCTTCATAAACACACCAGCCCAAATGGAGAAGGTGTCCAATAGCCAGACATGTACAGTGTCTGAAACAGATAGCTGTGTATGCACTATACCATCCTCTGGGATAAAACAGTATTATTTTGCTTTACAGCAATTATTTCTGATCTTTTTTAATCTAACATGTCATGTTTAATGATCAGCTAAATGTGTATGTGTTTGGGGTGACGGCACTCTGGACGTGGGTGTATGCACACATTTGAATGGTGCATAAATGTATGCGACAAGTGCTGACAATCAGAAAGTGCCATCTGGCTACATCGTCCATGGGGATGTAAAACTGACCGAGTGGAACAGTTAACTACAGTTAAGTCAGTGCTACACTTTGTCTGCCAGACCATAAATTATTTTGTTATATTACTTTTAAGTTTTTTTGTGTTCACTTGTCAGAGATTTATAGATCCTGCATATGCTGCATTAAATGGATAATAAGGACAAGAGAAACAGCTTTTATTCAGTGCAGACCACGACCTGTGGATGCCATTAGAGTAGTCTCTGTTAGTGTATATATTTTCCAATCCAAGAGTAGTGGAATATTTTCTTCATGCATGACTTTAAATAGTCTTAAAATAAAGTGATAATTAGACAAAGGGAAGCCTAAAGTGTATCACCTGAGATGGCTTTAGATTTCAAAGGACAATATATGAGCGGGACTTTTTTTAATCCCTTCATTTGATAGAAATGTTCATGTTTATTGTCAGCATGTAGAGATGAGAAGTCAAGGATTTCAGATTTCAGCTGACTTTATGTAAGCACTAGATACATTTGAATAAATTTGCAATTTTATCTGCCTCTTATAGAATGCAAATGCTCTGCCTTTTTGTGTTAGATAGGATGCAACATAAATACTCTTGTTTGAATATATGTACTTGCTTAAATGCTTTATGATCTAGAATAAGGTAGATTATGATTCCTCCTTCAGATTTAGAAAGAATAGATGAATAGATACAAAAATTGAGCTCCTTGATTATACATTATTTATTCGATTGAACAATAATTTACCAAAAAATTCAAAGATGACAAAGCCGTCAGATGATCTGACAATCAGGGTTATTTACTCAGATGACAATTAACCAAAAGAAAATCACTATGTATTTACTATGTGCTTTTTAATAAAACTAATTATTGCTCATTGGTTTTGCAGTGACTTCTTTTTTTTCTATCTGTTTCATTTCAAAATTTAATAACAGCTCAGTCCTACTTAAACTTAGAGAGTAAAAAATAAAATTATATTTTATATTGTTAAATCATTGAGTATATTATATTAACTATATTGAAGAGTTGAGTAGCTGCTCTGATTGATGTCGAGTCATTTATATGTGATTTATATCAGATTATTTGTTGAACTATAGGGAAGAACAGTTGGAGTTAACCATATTGATTTGTTGTTTTTTGACCCACATGCAGAATCACATAGAGATCCAGTATATTTTAAAGTCTTATTT